TCCCCTCCTCTCCCCTCCCCTGCCCTCTTTATTTTTCCTCTCATACTTACTGATATTTTAGTTGGATACCAGTTGGGTTGAATACCATTGGGTTGGAATTATTTCCCCCTAAGTTTTGACATTACTGTTCCATTGTCTTCACTTTCATTATTACTTTTGAGTCGTCAATTGCTAAACAGATTATAGAACTTCTTTGGTATCTATTTTTTTCCCCTGGAATCTTTTAGTGTCTTTTCATTGTTTCCATTTCCTTGAAATTACAAGATGGTGTGCCTTGGTGTGTGTCTGTTTTATACACTGGGTTGGGTACTTTCAGTCTGGAAGCTCCTCTTAATGATTCCATACTTTTGGAGGATCATTCATGTGAAAAGTACTTGAAAATGTCATTTTTTAATCTCTTTGGAACTTCTCATTTTTTTCTTTGATATATTTCACTTGTAAGAATTTTTTGCTTTGATTATGCCTTCTTAACTTTTTGTTTCATGGGTGCAGTATCTTATCATGCTGATATTTAGGGTGTTTTTGAAGTGTTTTTTTTTTTTTCTTTTTAGTTTCCCAAGTTACCTTGTTTCCTTTAAGTTTCTTTACTTCCCATTTTGGCCTATTTTTTTTTTTTTTAAATGACAATAACAACAACCACAACAGCATTTATTAAACACTTACGATGTGACATGTAATATACCAAATTCCTTACATAAATTAACTAGTTTCAACAGCAGGCAGGTTGATAATATTACCGTTCTGATTTGGCACATTAGGTGAGTAAGGCACAGAAGATTTTATAAATAGCCTAGGGACCCCAGTTGGAAAGGGTAGACCTGGGATATAAATCCAAGCAACTTCTGGGCCAGCATCCCTCCTCTCCATCACCACACCCCACTGCCTCCCAAGGTGGGTCTCTCTACCTACCCTTCTTTTTAGCTTTATTAGTACACATTTGCAGTTCATAATGATTACCTTCACTGTAGGGGCTTGGTACATGTACACGACACATTTCAGTTCCCTTCCTTTTCCCCCTGCCCCATCCCCTTGGGCTGTGTCTTGTCTGAAAGGCTCTCTTCTCAGGTACTTGGTGACTCAGGGCTCATGCTTGTTTAATAGTGAAGCCCTCCACATCCACTTGCCAGCTCTGCGTGTGCCATTCATGGGCTTTTCTGTGGGGTAACCTGGCTGGGATGTTTCCAATTAGAGAGTCATAGTTGTTGGTGTCTGAAGACCATCAACCCACATGAATTTTCCTCAGTTCTCATTAGGAGGTAGAAGCCTGCTTGCCGGCAGTTGCTTGTAGCTCAGGGAGGTGAGGAGTGCTGTAAGTCTGCTGTTACTTAATACCTGTGTGTTTTGAATGTGTTAATGCCGCCTTCACCTGGGCCAGATGTCCTAGAGTCTCAGATTCTGTATTTCTAAAGAGCAGCTATGTTTTTGACAGTACGTGTATGTATGTTTGTGTGAAAGAGAATGATTGATGATGAAAATAAGAATGTGTGTGTGTGTGTGTGTGTGTGTACTGAAAGAACATAAGAGGCTTTCAGCTGCTTTTGATGCTTTTAGTTTCCCTTGTTTTCAGTTTTGCTCTTGCCCTAGTTCTTGTGCCTTTAAGTCACGAGACTTTCTGGCTTGTGTTAGTTCAATACACATCTGTCTCACGACACTTTCTAAGTAGAAAGTGTGGCCCCCCTCGTGGGGTTTGTATCTTTTTTTCAGTTTCTTTTCTGGCATCTTACTAGGTTCTAAGAGAAAGTGGTGGCAAACCCTGTGTTAAATTTCCCATGCTATGCTCAAACCTGGCCCTTTCTAATTTGAAGCACAGTTTCATCTGACTCTTTACAGTTGCTTTCATCCAGTTCCTTCTGTATATTCACAGATTCCCTGTCCTAATTCACTCCTTCTCTAACCTTTTAAGGCTATATGCTTTGTGTTCAGTTTCTTCAGTGACTCATTAGAGACCGCCTAATCACCAAATCTGAGTTTGATCTTCAGTCCC